AGGGGGGGGGGGGAGGAGGTCTAAGAAATGTGCATCACAAAAACACACTCAATAATATGATCGTTTTCAAACAATGTTTTGCTCCGTCGTTCGTTCTATCGACATTCTACGACACGATACTCACAAAACGAATCAATTCGATCGACTATATATACGTAAACATTATTGCAAAGGACGAGCGAGTCTCTTGTTGGAAAAATCGAGTTACACAACGGTGTGGTGTGTCTGTCTGAGTAAACGGACGATACTACGTGGACGATAAATACAAACCAGTCGTAAACACTGCCTTAGAATACCGCCACTAGACATATTCTTCTCGGCCTCCAGTTCACCGAAATTTAAAGAGCTGGCGAAGATAAGTACATCAGCCATGTTGACTAGTCTTTGCAGAAAAGAAACCGCTACCTCAATTGGCATCCCCTGAGTTGGTTCAATTACATCCAATTCGCTCTATGAATATATCCAAGCACCAATTAAAAAAAGGAACTTCGTGAAAAAAAGGAACTTTCCACCAAGGGATATACACGCTCTTCTATGTGAAATCACGAGGAGGTCGTGGCGAGATATGGTTATACGTACATTTGGCGAGGTCGCCGACGCCAGGAGCGGCAACAACCCCCCGCAGGCGATTATCAAATTGTCAGCCAGTTGCGATATCAGATGAACGGTATTAACAACAAAAATCGCGTTCTCGCTGCTGTTTACAAAGTCCAACACCGACTTCGTCGAGTGACTGGAACAGAATCAATCGTGTACGTTAAATAAATTCATTCTAGCCATTTTTTCATTCAAAAGATCGTCATAATTTGGAAGAAAATTCCAATGAAATTATGTCAAGCTCGAGCCAATATATGATACGGTTAGATATTTTTTGTATACCTTCTCCAGACTTGAATGTCTGTCTCTAACGAAAAGAGGACATCCGAGAGTAACCTTTGATGTATGTAAGACCATTTGAATTCTGGTATTCTGAAAGGTGGTCGAGTCGGGCCTGGACTAAACATTGGTCTCGTGGAAGGATTACCTTGCTTCGATCGTTTCGATTCTGTAACGAGTGTTGATCGTTAGAAAGAAAGAAAGAAAGAAAGAAAGAAAGAAAGAAAGTTATATTAAGAGTTAAATCTCACCGAAATGATTGGGATCCACTTGCGTGGACGTTGAGGCACTCCTTGGTCGTTTCTGAGGTGACGATGTTTTACGCAAGGGTACGGGTAAAGAAGGAGGTTCGTTACTGTTTAGATTATCGTCGGTGGCTGTCTCGGTGGATACAGCCGGCAAGCTGGATCTGCGATGGGCATCTACGTGATCCGGAGTTAAGTCATTCAACAACGAATTATCCCTCGCAACCACTGTAGAACTAACGATTTGAGGCACACCGTCGGGCATATTTTTTTTATTTGCATCACAGACCGTAGATATTGTTGGAATTTGCTGTTTAGGATTTGGCACTTGCGTCGCGTTATCTACAGAACTTTGAATATCGCTATTACTACAAACACTATTATCTGTTACCTCTACCACGGCTTCAGTTCTCACCGGAGTGTCTGACTGATTATCACTTACGTTAGTAGAAATAGTGGACGGCTCCCTTGAATGTTTTTCATTTGTTACCTTCTCCCCGTTATCATTAATAACAGCACTTTTGTTCTCAGTTAAAGAGTCCACGGCGCATCTCTCACTACTTAACTCACTAGTCACTACTGTCTCCGTTCTCTCCTCTTCTACGTCGACCTTCTTCTCACCGGTCTCGATACTTTCTATTACGCTAGTTGAGCAATTGGAATTCTTCACCGTTTCCTCGCCTCCCTCGTTCTCGTTCTCGTTCTCGTTCTCGGTATTATCCTCAACGTCCACGCTCGTCTTCTTCGTCTGTTCAACGTCCTCGTTAACAACATTCTCGTCCATCTTGTCCAGCTCCTTAGACTTTATATCGCCCAAATTGTCCTGGTTCTCCGTCGGTGTCAAGTACGCCTCTGACGTGTCGCTGTCGATCACTTCCCGATCGTTCTCCAGTTGTAGCTTCTCAATGTCCTTGATGATCAGTGGCTCTGACGTCTCGCTGGAGGAAACAGGCGACACAGGTCCCGAATCCATTTGCTCCGTTTGAACAACAACCGAGTCCGCTGAGACTTCCTCCGTCGTCTGTTCGTCCGTCTGTTGTTTCGTTTCCTCGGAACTCTCTACCTTGTCCGAAGAAATCTCATCGTTGGGAGTAACATTTTCATCTTCCACCGTCGATGTTTCTTTGCCCTTTGTCGTCTCTTCTTCGATCTCGTTTACTGCAGCAGCTGCAGCTTCGGTCTCGGCGTCAGCTGCGGCTTCCACCTTGGTTTCAGCTTCAACCTCAGCCTCTGCCTCGGTTTCCGCCTCAGCATCGACCTCGGCCTCGGCCTCCATCTCACCTTCAGCTTCGCAGGTCTCGTCGTCCTGCGATTTCTGCACGTTCGAACCGGCGGCGCCAGGCACGTCCGCCTTCTCCTCAGACATTGTTGTCGTTTCCTCTGTCTGTACACTCTTCCTCTCTCTCTTTTCAACGGCAGACGGTTGCGAGACGGTCGTCTCGTCCTGTGTCGACTTCTGCTCCGGAGCATCGTCGTCCTTCTTCGGGTGCACCTCCTGCACCACCGCCAGCGAGTCTGGACTAGAACCTTCGATCTTGTGCACCTCGCTGTAGAAATCGCTGGAGCTCTCTATCGATATCGCCTCGCTGGTCTCCTGGGTCGTCGGGATGGAGACTGCCTCGCTGTTCCCTTCCTCGAGGATCGTCGGCGTGTCCGTGTGGATCTCGCGCGCTGTCGTCGGTGTTTCCGGCTTGTCGCTCAGTCTCGAGTCGAGGGATATCGCCTCGCTCGATTGAGCAGTGTCCAGGGTCTCGCTGTGCGACTTGACGATCGCTGGGCTACCGTCGCTCTCCGTGTTGTCTATCGAGTTCAGGTCGCAGCTGCACGACTCCTCCAGACGGTCGTTGCCCTCGGTCGCGTCGAACTCCTGGAAATCAAGTATCATCCATTGGTTTATACGTTCTTTTCACCGTGTGTGAACAGAATGGACAGAATTTTTATTAAGTTTTCACAAACAACCTTGTAATTCCTCTCCACGTGTTGTACGTCGTGATTCTGTTGATTGCCCCAGGGTGACGGTTTGTTGTAACCGTTGTTCCCCGAATGTTGCTGATCCCAACCGGAGATGGTGCTGATCGGCCTCTGCTGCCTCAACTCGGGATCGGTGATGTTGTCTGATCGTTGTCTCTCGTAGTGTTCGTACATTTGAGCGAACTGAAGCTTGAATTCCTCGTAGGATACCTGAAGCGAGAGGCAACATCGGCACATTTGCTTCGACTAATTTTCTCCTCCTCCGTTTCCCTTCCGAGGTATGGGCTTACCTTGGAGTGCACGATGGCCAGAGTGTCCACCCACACTCGCCATCCACCGTACTCGTGCTTTATAGCATGATGCAGAAGCATGCGAAACAACGAGTACACCATGTCCGAGATCTTTTGCTCTTCCGTGTTCTTCGGGTGAATGTAGGCCATGGCTATCAGCCATTCTTGCCATACAGACATCTGCAGAACAGTTCGCCGATTCTCTCGATTGTTGTTGCACAGCAATGTCATATCCGAGAGGAACAGCTTCTTCACTTCGAGCAGTTGCTCCGTCTGTTTTGATTGTCTAATTAATGTCGCCACAACCTTCAGAATCACTGCAACACGACACGACGAAGTAGCTAATGTCCTATACTCATACTAGGAGATTTATGTTTAACCCTTTGGCTACTGTTGGCCCCACATTACATTTACATTTTACAAATTTTTTGAAAATACAGCTCGACTAGAATGTATGTAACACGTATGTAAATCGAAAGGTAAAAATATTGATTTTCCGTCTGCATACGTAAACACGATACAACAAAAATGGGGAAAATGCAAGGCACAGCGTGTTGGAAAACATAACATTACGAAATGTGCAAGAAATGTGATGTAATCTTTACTAGATTATTAGATATATCATGAAATAAAGCTGAAAGTTATTAATTACTCTGATTATTTCAATATAATTTCTGAGAAATGCACGGTGACAAAAAATTTTGTTCAACTCCACTCTGCACGTATGCTACGTACGGTAGTAGCAAAAGGGTTAATTGATTCAATCGATTTGACGTCTTACTCGGATTTTCTAGACGATAATGGGACTCTGGTTCGGGGTGTCTGGCATAGAGGATCTGTTGACTAATGTGCTCTGTCATGATCTGAAAGGATGTTTTGCATTAGAATAGTGCAACCAGCATCTGTCAATAACATGATAATATTTCTCTTTCTCGAGACGAGTACCTCGTACAAAACGTTATAGGTTGGTAGTGACAATGTCTCCTCGTTCAAGAGCAATCTCTCGGCCAGTAACGTGTACAGATTGTGAGGGCTCATAACGTCGTATTTCCGTCTGCAATCCACGGAGATCATTCTCGATAAGTAAGTCGAACGAGTATCACGTTGCCTTACATTTACTTACTTGTCGAATTCGTCTACGTACTTGTGTGTACTGCGACTTAAAAAGAACCCCAACAATTTCAACGCTTGCAAACGAATCAACTGGCTCTCCGCCGCTAGTAATTTAAATATCGTTCGGACGCCCTGCTTCGCGTCGAAAGCCGGCACCATCGACGATGGATGCTCCGACATCAATGATATAAGCATTTGCAAAACGTCGTGCAAATTTTCGTCCTGCGGAATGCACACGTACTAGAGATCACTCTTATGATCCTATCCAATGCAATTAAATTCAAAACGAACACACACGCACACGCACACAAAATTAATCGTTTACTCGTTTCTTTTAAACGACGATTTCGTTCGCGAAACATCAATCGCGAACATCGTACCTCGTGTATTGTCGTCAGGTAGTTGAGAATACTCTGCAGCTCGTCGTCCTTCACCCCATTCCCGATCATGATCAATTGTTTGAGAAATAACAAAATATAAGAACGTATTGTCAAAATATCCTTCTGTTGAGGTCGCGGTCCATCTGCAAGTCGAGCAAAAATCACGTTCGTTCAATTCTTCGAGGGAAACAGAATATATGAAAGTTTATTTTGAAAGTGGCCTAAGTCCATTTCCCAGGAAAATATCAAGCTAGCTAATATTAGCTGCTTTCATATTTACGTTTCTACGTTGTCTGTTCACATTTTAAACAAATTGTAACTAATATATTTAATATCGCTAAGATTTTGTGCACGGAAAATTAGCTGGTTAATGGAATGATAGAAATTTGTATTTTGAAAGTAGCTTAATATTATGCAGTAAAATTTCACGAGATAAGAACTATATTTTTTTTCGTCATTGAAGTAATAGCGTTCGATAAGCTCAGATAGTGATTTTTTTTTAAATAATAAACTTCTAGAGAACGCGGTTTTTAGAAGATTAAAACATACTGATGGAGAAAGGATAAATTGGTTAGAAATACGTTGGATGCGATTTTTGAAAATTAAACCAATATAAAGTGTTCTATAAAACATCAATGAATGAGAATGCAAAACTCTGAATTTACTAACGCCGGGGGAGACCAAGAAACTTTAATTTAATAATTGAAATCACTGTACAAAAATATAATCAATCGCAACACTAAAACACAATGATATTATTACACTGTATACTATCTGTGCACCATAATTATTTTAAATCCCTCCCGCATACGCGGGAATCGGAGAAGAATGAATTATAAATTACGAAATATTATTTGAACGTAGCATTTCTTTAATAGTGAATAAAAGTTTGGATATTTTTTAATTTTATAACACAAAATTGTATATATATATATATATTTTTTTATTTCGTTTTAAGGGAATTTTTTTCAATGGATGCATGCCTTTCTAAAAATTATTTCGAAACAATTATTTCATTAATTTCGAAAGTGGCCTAAGTCCATTTTGACAGCCATCGAAAATGTGTTAATTGCCAAAACAATGTTTGTCATTGGACTGGTAAATTATATACACCCTTGGAAACACAAGAAATATCATAGCACCGTGTTATCATTTTCTTATTTTTAAACTTATTAAAACGCAAGCCGTCAAGTATCTCGATTTAAAGATAAATGGGGCCACTCACAAGGTAAACTCGCATAGAAGATCGAAACACGCGTCCGACCGCAATTACTCACCAAGTCCCTTGGGAGTGATTCCACTCTTGGCTCGCGGATTGGCAACCCAGTAGTAATATTTAAGCGTGTGCACCGTTTGCAACACCGTGGACACTCTTCTCACGTTCGAATATATCTGCGTGTCGCTGAGGAACTCTGTGGCCAAGTACGAATAAAGCCGCGTTTGCACCGGCGCCGGTGTATAAATCCACAGAGCGGGATTAAAAAGGACGTGGTCCAATAGCTGCCATGTTAGGAATGAAAAGTAAAACAACTACATCACCATGGATCTGCCTGTTCTTCGGACACACCAATCTAGCCGACTTTTATTGCGTTCCTATATATATATATATAGTTTATATATATGTATATATGGTTTTTCGAAGTTTATCTGCTTCGCGGCAGAGTCTCTCCCGTTTCGTGGACGCAATGATTCGAGTAATGGAGGGGGAGGAGGGGGGTAATAAATATGCCAGCTGGTAATAAATATGTGCTCGTTGCGTCGTACGTACGTTGCGTCTCGTTCGGAGCCGGGTAGATTCAAAGTGGGAGTTCGACACTTAGAATTGTGCAAGGTGGTAGTAGATTATCCGTAAGATGGAAAGCACACAGGAGTGAGTTTGAAAACA